ATCCTTTGGTATGTTGCTCCGGCGTTCTTCAGGCCAAATGGCATGACCGTGTAGCAGAAGTTGCCCATGTGGGTCATAAAAGTAGTTTTCTCCTGATCTTCTTCAGATAAGCGGATCTGGTGGTACCCCGAGAACATATCCAGAAAGCTGAGACTTTCATGATTAGCGGTCGCGTCTATGAGCTCATCGATTCTTGGCAACGGATAGGCGTCTTTTGGGCAAGCTGCGTTCAGATTTGTGAAATCTATGCACATTCGCCATAGTCCAGAGGCCTTGCGAACGAAAACAGGGTTCGACAGCCAAGTGGGATACTTGACCTCTCTTATGAATCCAGCTTTTAGCAACCGCCCGACTTCTTCTTCTAATGTCATCTGCTTCTCAAGGGATGCGGCCCTCCTCCTCTGCTGAACGGGCTTGGACTTGCTCTTTACTGCCAAGTGGTGTTCCGCGAGTTCCCTTGAGACGCCCGGCATGTCTTCTGAAGTCCATGCAAACAGATCTTTGTATTCTTTGAGGAGCGCCAACAGCTCCCGCACTTTCTCTTCTGTTAGGTGGGATGCAATTCTCACTTTTTTCTCTGGCTCGACGCTATCCAGTATGACTTCCGCGTCTCCCTCTACCGCCTCGGGGCGTGGGTGGCCTCCTCTAGTATCCACCATGTCCACTTCCAAGCTTTGTATGGTCGCTTGGTAGCATTCCTTAGCCTGCTCAGTGTTTCCTTTGACTTGCCCCACTCTTCCGCCCACAGGGAATTTCAGCATCTAATGACAAGTGGAGGGAACCGCCGAAAATAATGACAGGAAACCGCGTCCCAAAATTGCATTATACGCTGACGGACAGTCAGCAACGTGAAAGTCCATTGAGCGTGTTTTTGTTATGTCTGCCTCTCCAATTGTCACCTGTAGAGTGACCACGCCTAGCACTCTGATCTTTGACCCAGAGAAGCCTACTAGGCTTGTAGACGAGGGCTTGAGATCTTGGATGCTCATCTTCATGCTTTTGAGGGTGGAGTAGAACAGTATGTCGGCTGAGCTACCATTGTCGACCAATGCCCTGGTAACTTTAAATTTCCTTGTCCTTAAAGAAATCACTAATGGATCTTCAGCGCTCTCACCAGGGGCTAGCTCGGAGGGTGAAAAGCTGATGTCTACTTGCTCGCTTCTGTTAACATTTAAGCACTGCACTAGGCGGTCTCCCTCACTCCTGGGCCTTTTGCGACCGCCTGCAATAGTTATTACCTCGACGTCGTCCTCATTCAACCGTGGCTGAGGCGACCTTCTTGGCGGCGGTGGGAGACGGTCACGCCTGGGAGACCGCTCCCGCCTTCGCGACCTCGATCTGTCACGCTTTGGTGTTCTTGATCTCTTTCTTGGGCTTGGCGATCTCTCCTTGTGATGCCTTTGCTCCTGATGGTGCGGTCTCATGTCCAAACGACTTTTGAGATCTCCCGGCGCCAAGTACTTCAGGCTTGCTTTGAACTCCCGACACTCGGTGGTGTCATGGGTGGGCATCTGGTGCCAGTCACACCATTTTCGGTCTTCATCCCTCCTATGCGTCTGGTGCGCTCTGCTGTCGCCTTTTCGGTCCCGGCCTTCTTCTCTACTGGTGGCAAAAACTTCCCTCCTGTTATCCCGATGAACGTATCTTGATTTGTAGCTCCTCTTCTCGGGGGACCGCCCCCTCCTCCTAGGTGACCCTCCTTTCTTCTTTTCTCTTTCTTTTATATGGGTGCGTTTGGCAACGTCCTCCACTATCATGGCTTCTTCCAACAAAATCGCCTTTCTCACTAGGCGGTCCAGGTCGGGCCATTCCTTCAGCGTATGCTCTTTCTTGATAAGCGCCCTTTGCAGCTCACAACTGTGCGTGGACATACGCAGGTTACCTGCTGCCACGCTTGGCGAGATTCCTTGTACTTCACAGGCTATAGTGTTCCACCGGTCATAGAAATCTGTCAGCGACTCTTCTCCCCCTTGCTTACAGTTGATTAATGACGACACTGTCAGCTTTCTTCTTCTCTGGGACGCGAACTTTGAGGAGAAAAGGGTCGCGAACTGCTCAAAATCTTCAATTATCCCCCCGGGTAAGGAGGTATACCAAGTCCTGCACTGACCGCCGAAGGTGACCGGGAACGCCTTGCATAGATCTGCGTCTGTGGCGTTGATGAGCTGCATCTTTAGCATGAATGCGCTTAAATGGTCGGTGGGATCTGAGTTCCCGTTGTATGTGGGCAGCCCGAGTGATGAGAAGTTGGGTGGAACCTGAGTTTTGAATAGACTCCTAGCTAGCGGGTTCTGGAGGATGGTGGGACCCTTGACTTTGCCATACGTGGGCTTGAGATGTTCCTCCAGAAATCCCAAGCTATCTCCCGCACCTTCCTCTTCGTCGGGCTCCCCGCCTTCTGTCCGAGCAGGGCTGTCGGGACCGCTTTCTTTTTCTTTCCCTTTGCTAGGCCGCTTTCCCGAGCCTCCTGGCGCATCGACTTCTTTCTCTCTGAGCATGGCCAATATCTGACCTAGGCTCTCTTGCATGCTCGATATTTGCTGCCCTTGACTCTTCACGCGGTCTTCCATCTCCATTTCCTCCTCCACAGTGGGCATTTCCAATCCTCGGATGCCACTCATCTGCGCGTCTGGTGCGCGGGGACTGCTTCTCCCTACTACACCTTTGACAGGAGTGTTGGAGCTCCCATCCATCCTTTCTTCAGTGCTCTCTCTCGCCCCACGGTGGGCGCCAAATTGTTTAAGCCTAGAATGTACTAGGCGGTTTGTGCAGAACGAGCGAGGCGCCTGTTTAGGATGATGGGGGACTCCAAGCTCCTACAAAACAAGGGTCCGTGGGCGGTCGCCCAGGACACTCTCCGATGCCTAAGTTAGAGAGAGAAATGAGAGCTTATGTTTGTTTAGAGAGAGAGAGTAGTAGTTGGTTACCATTAATGTCGATCCCGGTGTATTTATAGCCCCTCCTCTCGAGCATGGGGCATTAAATGCTATTGTCAGGCGGCCTATACGCACATTACCTTTCCCGAACCGCCTACGGCGGGCATTTAATGCTTAGTCCTGCTGTATCCGAGGTAGGTATCCCCAGGAAGATCTCTTCCTTCTGACACCAACGGTCACTTGCGTCGGGCGGCCTAGTCCCCATCTTGTCATAGGGCGGCCGCCTGCCGTTCCCCTTCTCCCATGCTCTTCCTCGGGTTCTCCACCGAGACTCTGACTCCTCCTTGGGCCCTGCTCGGCTATTCCCTCCTGGGCCTCGAGCCCACTGCTGCTCAACTATGGGCCCAACATATACTAATAGCCACTGCAGGAGGGATTATTAGAGATAGTGTAGGTGATTGGAAAGGAGGCTTCTGCAGCAAAATCGGCACTAGTATGCGATTCTCGTGGAACTGTGGGGAATTCATCAAGGGTTGATCATGGCTCAGAATCAAGGTACTCAATTCCTTATTCTTGAGACAGATTCGAAGTTAGCTATCGACTTGATAAAGAATAGGGAGGATCCAGTCCATTCACACTCGACAATCTTGACAGCTATTCGACGACTCTTAGCTCAGAACTAGGCGGTGCAACTAGTTCATACGTATATAGAGGAGAATAGAGTCGCGAACTGACTCTCCAAACACAGTCTCATCTATCCATTCGATACGCATAAACTAGCAAACCCGCCAAGTGAGTTGGGGGATCCTTACCGAAGGGGAACGGATCAGGTCATTAACCTTATGGTGAGTAACTATGAGTAACTCGCCCACATCAGCATGACATCAGCATCCTCTCTCTCTCCTGGAAAGCCTTTAATTTTCCCTTCCTTAATCTTTGACAGACGATTTCTCACTCGTTTTAAGTCGAAATTTATTTATTTTTGCACAGTTAGATCAGATTAATTGTGCTCTTCAAAATGATATCCACTTTGATATATTTTTCGAACAAAAAAAAATTGAGCCATTTTATACCAGTCTATACCACATGGTATTGACTGGTATTGAAATAAGAGCATACCTATGGTTTGAAAAGCGTACCATGGTGGTATGACACAAACCAAAACTGTAGGATGGTTGAATACGACTTTTAACATTGTATACCATAAGATACCACCCCGTACCTGGGTGGTATTGTATGGTATTGTGTGGTATTTTTTTGTCTCGTAATTTGTTCACCCAGAAATTAGTAGATCCAATAGATCATGATGAACTCGTCCCTGCTGTGCAAACGTTTTTAAAAACGAATTAAAAACGAAGAAGATACCATATGGTATGCAGTTGGTACCGAGAGGCCATAATTTTTTTTCCTAAAAAAATATTGAAAATTGATCTCATTTTGTAGAGCACGATGAACTCGTTCCATCTGTGCAAAAAAAAAAAAAAATTAAAATCCGAGTTAAAACGAAAAAGATATGAGTCAATTAAGAAAGCTAGTGAAAATAAAAATGACCTTTAATTTTCCATCCTTAGATATGAATTTTCTAAATGAAGGGTCCAGATTTGGTTATTGATGGGTGCATAACCCATGATTATGCACCCTAGCTTGAGCCCTACCGAAGATACCTTGGGAGTGAGCTTTACAGGATACTTATTCGGACTCAGGATTAATTTAGGGACTTCTGTTTTAAGATTCCTCTTTTCGCAGTCCTTGTTTCATTCCTAGCCTTATTTAATCCCGTTTGTAATTGATGGCGACTTGCCTCCCTTTAATAAAAAAGGAAAACTAATCAGTTAGGGATAATTAAGGAGATTATATGGTATAATAAATTAATAATGTCTCTTATCTTGCTAGTAGCGGCGACGACGTCGTATCTCCTGCTGATCACCGTCACCTCCTTGCCACCACCTACGTCGGTGGCGGCGACAATATCCACCCTACGCCAATTCTCAGGTGGTCAATGGCTCGCCGGCGGTAGCTACCTAGGAGATGTAGCAATAAAAAGTTTTGCTCTCTCGTTGTCGATTTCATTCGGATTCGGTAATGGTAGTCCTGATTTGATAATAATGGTATACCATGACAAATGCAAGCAATTGAGAGCTTTTTTCTTTTATGAATAGCAATCGAGAGTTAGTGAACTGATGACATTGTTATCAGCCGGTCTAATTTATCAATCAATCATGACAGATCTGAAACAGGCAATGGCGGTCTAGGAGTGTGAGTATGTACAACAGCAATCGCCACGGAGAAGAAGATCAACAGACAAACAGCTAGTAGCAAAACGCAGCATCGTACAACCGTGTATATTCTCGTATCCAACTCAACTCCGTGAAGAGTCCAGCCAGCAACTACCTGCAAATTGAGCAAAACATTCGATCTCAGTATGAATTATGCAACACCGATAAATCTATATGACAGTGTACAAGGCAAAGGTCATCTCTTTACAGAAATCAAAATGCAGACTTTGGCTTGGACAGGAGATAACAGATATTCAGATTAGCAATAATACAATGCTTGTCCTCAGCAATTCTCTTCACCAAAACTAAGCTAGGATCGATCTTGTGAATAGTCATCAATAGTACATTAAGGGATGATCATGTAGAAGTTCACAATAGAAATAGAAGAGGATGCTATCAAGAACAACAAAGGTACTTGTCAATTCCAAACATTTGGACGTGGAAGCGATTCATCACAACAAACAGAGACAGAAGTGGAAGAAAATAAGCCCACTAATAGGTTTTCGGTTCAAGAAGCGATTTAGAACCAAATCATCAATGGTTTGCAAAGCAGCTACGAAGACCATCCGAGTTTCCTTCAGCTATATAAAGCGAGTTTGGTACTTGTTTGCTATATACAATCAAAATAGTTTAGCAAATACACAGAAGGGATACTGAAATCCCCCAGCTTCCCTAATCGGTGCAATGGGCATACTGAAACAACTAGAGACACACATATGACTGGTCTCTACTCTGCCACTCGCTCTAACTTTTATTTACCAGATGCTGGCTAACTAAATACAAGTACAAATCACAATGAGCAAGGATGAGATTGGTGGGGATTTATAGAAGTTCGAGAACTTTCTAATTGATAGCTAATTCAGACTCTCCAAAAAAACAAATGATTTCACACGAATTCATAACCTTTTTAGGCACAAACTTCTGAATACTTCCCACAATAGTAGTGCCATTGCTCATTCATCTAGGTTCTTCAGTTTCCTAATTCTCTAATGCTAAAACTTCTATGTAGAAATCAATACAACTTAATGTAGATAAAGAAGTCGAAGTTCAGACAAATTGTGGCATTTACTACAAAATTCCACTCAAAGTAGAAGAGGAGCAAGACGTCAGCGAAAGTTGCGAAACAGATACAACACCATCAAACATGATTATTTCACTTGGGGGGTAATACAGTAAGAAGATCAGTTGCCATTGGTAGGTTCCATGATGTAAAAATATGCCAACACATCTCCTTCTCAACAAACACCGAGTTCCCTCTTACCTACGCTCCAACAGAATAGCTGTTAAACATCATCCTCTTCATCTCACCCCTGACTTACCAGACTGAAAGATGTGTTTATCTCATCGGACTAGTGTCTCAACTTAATCTAATAGCATCAGCAGAATTAAAGGACAAGATGATGCTTCAAAATGGAAGCAACAATCGACATGCTTGCAAGATCTCACTCCTAATAAGCAATCAGATTCAGAAGCCAATTCCTCCCTCTAAACTTCCAACAATGAAACAGATCTCCATAAAGGGACCCTTTAATGCAACAATCAAGAAGCAGGTTTCCTAACATAGTGGTAGAAAGATTACTACATCTCCCATGCTTTCCTATAAGAAACACTAAATCCCACTACCTAGCTCAACAAAACAAGAAGCGATGAGGAACGGGGAAAGTGAAGGAAGCGAACAAACCTAGGAAGACGCTCGCTCAATGTGCCTTCCTCCTCAGTGGATTTTTCTCAGTGGCTACTCTGTAAATCCAGTATACCTAATACCAAATGAAAGGCGAAATAATCAGAAGATCGAGCTCAAATTGCACCTTAGCCCACAAAAACAGTTGTAATGAGCGCAATTTCAGTTATCGAGAGGCTACCAGAGCGAGGACGTGCGCTGCTATTAGCACGACCACGATGAAAGGCACCAAATCGAGAAACCACGGCCGCGGCATCGAGTCCCTCGCCATTTCTTCCGGCAAGAACAACTGACGACGAGAGCAGAAATAAACAGATCAACCGCTCGCCAATGAGTGATGTTAAATTGTTAACCCCTTGAAAAATCAGGGTTTTGCCCGAGCTCGCTCGCTTGCAAGAAAAGGAAACGACTCCACTCCTTCGATGCTTCCAACAGCAACGGAGCAGTTAGCAGAGGAAGAGAGATCTGGTGGGCAGAGTCGGGTACTGGGTCGGGTCACTGAGCTCAGTGAAGGCTGGTTGGGTAATTTGTAGCTTTGGCCTTGTATTGTTGGGCCTCAATTAGGCCCAAGTTAAAACTACGTTTCCCCCAACGTTCGCTGTGAATTTGATCCAGTCCGTCGTCGGTCGCTGGCTCGGCGACAATATTGGAGCGCCGCGGGGTGTCGGCGAATATGACGTGGCGGTTTTCTGGCGCACTCTCAAATTACAAAGCAGCGATCAAAACGTATCCTGCAAGCACCACTGTTCTTCCTTCGTCTTCTTCATGCGCGAGCTCGCCTGTTAATGTGTAGAAACAGCTGGTTGGACGGCGCTTTTTTGTACAGGCATGCCCACAATCCTTCTGTGAGTGGCTTTTTCTTCCCGCTGAGCGTTGTTTGTTCTTTTGGGCATTTTCACGAACGGTTGTTGTGCGAAAAGATGCCGGGTGGTGGTTAGCGCGAGAAACTATTCTTCTTGTACTGGTTTCTTCTGCTGGATCTCGTAGCGCCAATGAGGAATGTGAGCGGAATTCTCAAGCGTCACGGCCGGATTGCGCTGCTTTCCCGCAGTAAGCAACTTGGCTTCGCTTTTTACTTACTGAGTGCGATAGGATTTTGTGATATTCCTTCTTCCAATCCTTTACTTTCATCTCTCGTTGTCGAAATATAGTTTCCCGTCCACAAGGATAGTGCCAATTTTAATCTGCTATCTTACAGTCTGCGGCCTGTGTTTTTTCTTGCAGTTTCTCGTTTTGAGAGTTCTGCATTGGCTCCTATTGGCAGTTCTAGTAGTGTTCTGGCACACGGGGGAATCATGGAGATTAACAATCGGGCATGCTCCCTTCAGCAAAGGCTGTGAGTAGTACCATTACCTCCATAGCTGTAGGAAACTATTGTTTATCTAGTGTAGAGCATATGAACGTAGGTTTAGTGTCCCAGTTTCGGGGCATTGTGATGCTTCTGATCTTTGAGCCTAAAATGTCATTTTGTGCAGCTTCTCCACGACCTTCACCAGTGTACATGGCGAGAAGCCTTCTGGGAAGTATGCAAAGTTAAGGAAAGAGTCTCTCGAAAGTGAATTTGGACAGGCTCTTGGTATATACAGCTCCAGCAAGGCTTCTCACATCTATCGATTTGGTCCATTTCTGGCGATTTATAGAGCTGCAATCATCTCATATCATCTCTTCAAGTTAACCATTTGGCAACTTTTCGTCAAGGATATGAGAGAGCGTGCCATCATGGTATGAGCGTTCTTTCTTGGTTTTTAGTTTCAGTAGCTTAATCTTAGTTATATACTTGCCGAGTCAAAGCTTGTGTTTGCACTGGTGGTGGTGGTTTCAAAATTTCCCCCCTGTTCAGTTTGCTTGAAATGTTACATAAGAATTTTGCCTAGTAGTTATTTTTGTATGTTGTGTTTACATGAGTAGCACATTCCACACCAAATAGGCTTTCAGAAATTGAAGTCATAACTATACAGTATACACGCAAGTGCTTCTTGAATCACCAGAAAGTTCTTTTAGATTCGGATGAAGAGATGTGATGAGTCCATGCTTTTCTCTGTATGAAATGAGCACCTGGAAACCATTATATGATAGTGTATCCTTCGCATAGAGCCGACTCGTAGTGAAGCTTACATTTGTTCCATGGGCTGAGATAATAATTTTTACTAGGGTAAATACAATATATTATCCATAACTATTAAGTAGCGGGGAATTATAGCCACAACTATCGAAATACAAATTATTAGTCATAACTATTGTTGTGGGTCAAGATTTGGCTAACAGCTTGTTACTGTTTTCAAATTTTTAACGTAGAAAGCCATGTCAGCATCGTAAAAAATATGATATGATGACTGCCACGTGGGAGCCAGCTCACCATCGTAAAAGCTTAGTCATCATTACTAACGGAAGTGTTAACGAAAACTTAACGATTGGCTAATAATTTGTATTTCGATAGTTGTGGCTATAATTCCCCGCTGCTTAATAGTTATGGCTAATATATTGTATTTGCCCTTTTTACTAAGCATATCTGCTCTGCTATATAAGACTGAGGTTTGTTACATTGTCAAATGGAAAGAGTTGCAGAAAGTGCTTGCACAAAGATTTCAAAAGGTTTGGTAGCTTTAAGTGATGGAGACATCTGACATCAACTACTTTAATTCTCTTGTGTTGGATATTTTTTTGAGTTTGAATAACTGAGAGTTGAACCCTACTGCTTTCCCAAATTGATAATGAAATTATGCAATTTGTTGCAGTTTCGTGAGACTCTAGTCAGCTTGGGGCCTTTCTACATCAAGGCAAGTGGCTTATAGTTACTCTATCATTGACAGTGATGGTAGTGGTTGTCATCTTGCCTATATGTTATAAACTCGAGCATTTTGCATTGCTTGTCTGTCAACTCTAGCATTGTTTTGAATTGGAAAATGATATTATATGGAAAGCCATCAAGTCCTGTTTCATTTGCTAAATTCTTTCTAGTGTTATTTCCGTGATCAGAAATGTATGGTTTTGACGTTTTGTAGAGCATATGGTCTCAGCTTTGACACATGGTAATTGTACTCATTGAAATTTACAGCTTGGGCAAGCTCTAAGTACCAGGCCGGATGTATTGCCAACTATATACTGCCAGGAGCTTGCTAAGTTACAGGTACCCTACGTCTCTCTCTTGATATATCCTGCATATTGGATCTTATCACGGTTCGCTAAAGCCTATGAGTTCGTTCTCACAATTTATCTCCTTATCTTACCAGGATCAAATACCACCCTTTCCTACTAAAGTTGCAATTAGATCTATTGAGTCCCAGTTAGGCCGTCCTATTTCACAAATCTTTGCTGACATCAGTCCAGAACCTGTTGCTTCAGCATCGTTGGGCCAAGTGTATAAAGGTTAGTTAAGTATTCTACATGAAATGGACATAGTTGACTGAATAAACACAGTTCATTTTCCTCCTTATGCTGGTGTTACGGTGGGATGCTTCTCTAATGTACTCTGTATTCTGTGCTATCCCATGTCATAAGATCAGTAAGAGTTGGATCTGGCAGGAGTTAAATGTTTGAATTTATTGTTTCAAGTATTGCAGCGCATTTGCATTCCGGCGAGCTTGTTGCTGTCAAAGTGCAAAGGCCTGGGATATCACATTCATTAACACTTGATGCCCTGTTATTCAATATGATCGGGGGTCAGTTGAAGCGCTTTGCTAAGGCTCGCAAGGATCTACTGGTTGCTGTAAATGAGATGGTGAGCATTCCATAACTATATTCCACTGATTTGTAACTTGCACTGCTCTTTTTAGTGCACAATTAGTTAGAAATGTATGAAAATATGCTCAACCTACCCCTGTGGTACTGTGTCTGTTGTATCGTTACATCTTCTAGGAATTATCGTTAATCTATTACGACTGTAGGAATCTGGTGACAATCATACACTGTAAAGGAGTTTGTATGTAGTTTCACCTTTAAATAGCAAAAACAAGTCGGCTCCACAAAATTACTGGTGCTGCTCTATTTAGTAACAAAAACATGTACCTGTCCACCCTCCTCCGACTATGAGAACACCAAGATGGTTGCTTCCTGCGCCAAAACTTGCATATAGGCACAGCAAAGTAAATATTGATGCACATTTGTCCGCTTCAGTGTCTGCTATTAGCTTGCATTTCTCATCTGCATCACTATTTTCTAGGCTTCTTTACAACATAATTCTACATGCTTATGAACTTCTTCAGGTCTATTTTGGATGATCAGGTCAGGCACATGTTTGATGAGATTGACTACATTCTAGAGGCAAAAAATGCTGAACGTTTTGCTACTCTTTATGGTTGTGAAGCCTGTAAGTTCTTCAAATCTCGGGGAAGAAACATATCAAGAACTTTCATTATGTAAAGCATTTGTCATTCAACTCTGCTGTGGTAACAGTCTGGCATTAGATCTGGTCGTATAATTGTGGTTACTATGTTTGGTCAAGTAGTATTACTGGAAGACTTGAAAACAATTGATCATGCTATTCAGGCTCTCCAAACACACTAGGCTTTTTTTTTCTGTTTAGGGAGATTGGTTTCCGGGCTTTTGCAACGTTTTTGTTCAATTGACTACGCTTATCAATTGGAATTGCAAATTCAACTGCTCTTTCAATTATTTTTATTTTTTCTTGGTTGAAGGGTGACAGCTAGCTTCATTTGAGCTTGTAGGTGGTTTCATGAACATGTGCATAGTACTGTGTACTCAAATGCTGAACTCCACTTGCTTCAACATGATAAGAACTGTGTGACTATCACTCTTGCATCTATCATGTTTCCCTACGTGATGTTTTCTCCTATCAAATTGTTACAGCTACAACAGTTGTGGACGAGAATGAAAATTATGTTAAAGTTCCGAAAATATATTGGGACCTCACACGCAAAGCTGTTCTCACTATGGAATGGATAGATGGGATCAAGCTTACTAATGAAGCTCGCCTAAGCGAAGCTTGCTTGGACAGAAGAAAACTGATTGACCAGGTAAAGGGGTCAATGAGTCTGAGTTCTTTCTTTCTACTTCGAATATGTTTGGCCCAGTGAAACGGAAATTCTTCTACTAAATTATGTTTTGCAGGGATTGTACTGCTCACTAAGGCAATTGCTTGAAGTAGGATTTTTCCATGCTGACCCCCATCCAGGAAACCTTGTTGCTACTGACAGTGGCCATCTTGCTTATTTTGATTTTGGAATGATGGGAGATATTCCTCGTCCTTATCGTGTGGGACTTATTCAAGTGGTACTGCCTATTTAAAATTATGGTCGTTTTCCAATTTCATTTTTCTAATCATTTTGCATTACTGATTAGAAATTTTGTGGATAAATATGACGACGGACACCCTCTCTTTTGGCACCTTCCTTTTGATATGCAAGTAGCTACTACTTTTTTCTGTTTTTTTTTTCCCCTAGCCAAAATGTTGTTACAAAATGTGTCATGGTAGCTCCCGAATCTATTTGCATAGTTTGCAGGTATCCAAGTGAACTCTTCCTATT